ACAGAAGACTTGACCAGCTGTGGGATGGCATCAAGAACATTATGTGTGAGGAAAGTGAAAGGTCATTAAAAAGATAGGAAAGCAAAGATCGCAGTGGAGATGAGAAGAGACTGAAACATGTCCTCTGTGGTAGAGTAGCTAAGGCAAATGGAAGAAATGAAGTAAAAAAAAAACGGAACAGAAAAAGGGTGGCTGGAGAAGACAAAGTAAAGTATAATGAAATGGGCAAAGTCAAAGAGTTAGAAAGCCAAACAGGAAGAAAATGCTCAGCACATCTTACACTGAAAGCACTCCAGAAAAAATTCAAGTTGCAATATCAAAAGATTCTATGGGCCAAACATTGAACTATGCAGGAAGCATCAAAAGAAGCACACCAGCCTGTGTGACCACGAGATGTCCAAGGGATCAGGTATCAGGCATCAAACAACAAAAAAATCTTATCATTGTGAATGAGGGTGAGTGCAGAGTGGAGACAACTGGATACCCCTTACTGAAGGGTCACGGGGAGATGAGCCAGTCAGGGTGCAGGGTAGCAATGATGAAACATACAATTTTCCTCTAGTTCTTAAATGCTTCCTCCCCCCATTATCATGATCCCAATTCTACCTTACAAATCTGGCTAGACCAGAGGAGGCACATGGTACAGATAGGCACTGGAAACACAGGGAATCCAGGACAGGTGACCCCTTCAGGACCAGTGGTGAGAGTGGCAATACCTGGAGGGTGAAGGAAAGGTGGGTTGGAAAGGGGGAACCGATGACAAGGATCTACATATAACCTCCTCCCTGAGGGACAGACAACACAAAAGTGGGTGAAGGGAGACGTCGGACAGTGTAAGATATGACAAAATAATAATAATTTATGAATTAAGAAGGGTTCGTGAGGGAGGGGTTAGTGGGGAGGAAGGGGGAAAATGAGGAGCTGATACCAAAGGCTGAAGTAGAAAGTAAATGCTTTGAGAATGATGATGGCAACAAATGTACAAATGTGCTTGACACAATGGATGGATGGAAGGATTGTGATAAGAGTTGTACGAGTCCCCAGTAAAATGATTAAACAAAGAAGATGGAAGGAATACACAGGGACTAAACCAAAAAGAACTAACTGATACTCAACCATTTCAGGAGGTAGAAGATGATCAAGAACCAATGGTACTGAAGGAAAAAGTCCAACCTGCATGAAAGGCCTGAACCAGAAACTAACCAGAAACCAGGAATTGATGGGACGCCAACTGAAGTCTTTCTACACGCTGGTGAGCACGCTCGTCCATGCCAGGCGATCTGGAAGACAGCTACTTGGCCACCTGACTGGAAGAGAGCCATGTTTGTATCCATTCCAAAGAGTGGTGACCCAAGAGAATGCTCACATTACAGAGCCCTGTCACTCATCACATGGTCTGACATGTCCCGAGAAGTGGGTATGTGAGCCGAGGCATGAGCCATAGGCTGCACTGGGGCACTGAGGCCCCGGGAATGGCCTGGGTCAAAGCCCTGAGGCAGGAACAAAGACTAGAGAGGAGGGCTGGAGTGGAGAGGGAGGAAGGTGATGGCCCGTGGCATGGGAAAGGGAGGCGGGCCGGATGGCAGCAGCTCCTCACCTGAGCTCCAGCTAGCTCCTTGAGTCCGAATCGGCGCACAGTGATTTCCGTTTGGGTGGCATTGTTGTCATTTTGAACTTAACCCTGAGCACCATGAGCACCTGTAGAGACTGCTCTTTACCTGTGGGGTTGGTGGCCTTCACACCCCCATCTGGGACAAATCGGTGCTCAACAAACGGACCGTGTGCGAGCCTCTGGCTTGGGCTCTGCGTGCTGTGATGGGCGCCGGCAAGTCAGCAGGCTAGGTGGAGGAAGATGCTCGACTCAGTCGTTCCCCTGGCGAATGATACACCTCCCCAGGTGATTCTTGGGGAGTCCCTTGGGGGTCTTCTTCAAATATGCTCATAGATTCTGATTCAGTATATCGGAAATGCAGATTCTCAGCAGTGGAGGTGGGTCAAGGCGGAATGAACCGGTTCGAAGCCCTCCGCCCCCCCACGGTGGGGGGAGGGGCGGGGGGTGGACCTTCTGTTAATGATTGAGTGGCTCCCAACGTACTTTTCAAACATCCCCTGGCTTTTGCCCAGCCTCTGAAAGAGACATGCTTGCGGATGTGTTCTGAAAAATATTCCATATGCTAATGGAATGTCACCATCTGCCAAAGAAGGCAGAGCTGTTTTTAAAGGAAAAACTATTAGAGAAATGAGGTATTCACAGAGGGGCACTAAAGAGCCCCAAAGTCGCTGACCCGCCGCTGACCTGAGCCGCCTCCAGTTAGCACCGATGTGAAGAGGGAGGGAGACAAGCTGAAGCCGGTTAACGTCGGTTCACGTCGCTCTTCTCGAGACATGATGACATTTCCTGAAACAAAAACTCGCAGCCCGGTCTATAAAGCGCCTTTTCGCCGTGGGCGGAGAGCCCCAGGGCCCCCTCTGATCGGCTCCCCGCTGGTCCCAGGCGCGGCCTGGGGCACCCGGGCCGTTTGCTCCGCAGCCGAGCCCCCGCCCAGAGCCCGGGTGACCGGCCTTCAGTAGACGGGCCGCGTGGCCAGTCCTGGGGCACCAAACGGGCCCCCAGAAAAGTGTGAGTGTGTGTGCGCACGCGCAGGCATCGCCAGTGTCCATCACCAAAGGTGTCACCCTTTCTGGGAGACGGGATGTCCTCCCTGCGCCCCATCTTACCACCCACTCCTTAGCGAGCCGCCTCTGCCAGGGGCATTCCCACCGGACCACCTCTGTATTCCCCCCACCCCCACCCCAGCCCCCTCCGGGTCCACTCCTCCTTGTCCTGGTCTTCCTGCAAAGGTCACCGGGACCACGCCCGCCCTGTGCCCACGCCCCAGCTCTCACAGCACGTATCGCCCTCTAAAACCACTGGGCATTGTCTCTTTCTTTCGGCTAAAATGTAAGCTTCCTGAAGGCGGGGACTGTGTGTGTCTAAGGAGGCTTCGAAAAGCTCGTGGGAGTGACATGAAACGGTACTGGACGTTTTCCGTGGGCTCGCTGCGGTGTAGGAAGCGCTGGTAGGGGTTCTCACTCGAGCTGGATGCTCTTCGCAACCCTTCCGTCTGCCTCCACGTCCACTCCCTGCCAGCCTATCGGGCGGGGCAGATCTAACGGCCCCGGTGGGTTTCTGAAACTCTTTCGGGAAATAGAAAGCCACCTCTCTTTCATAGGTTTCTAACTGCGGGCCTTTCAGTTCTCGGTCCAGCGCATCATAACCACGCTGGCACCAGCGCTCCTCGCCACACGGCCAGGTCTCCTGTGGTCCACTTCTCAAAGGCACCCTCTTGTCACTTCCTCGGTGCTCCTCGGAATTCCAAACCTCGGCCTCCCGCCTTTTCCTGTGATAACATATATGGGAGGGCGGGGCAGACCTTTAAAAGTTTGTGGGAAAACGGAATTAAAACGATGGCAATTTCCCAATGTTTTGAAGCCCTCTCTTATTAATCAGTCATCACGACCACTGTCAACTTCCAAAACTTCTCCATCATCCCAGACAGCAAGCCGATGCCCATCAGGCCCTGACCCCCAAGTCCAGTCCTTCCCTATGGTGCACACCAAGCTTCTTGGTTTCCGAGCAGTTAATTTCAGCGGTTTCATATACATGGGCCATGTGATGTGTGTCCTTTTGTGTCCAGCCGTTTTCAACGCCCACCCAGGGCGTGTAGCTTGTGCAAGGAAAGAGCTCATTTCTCGTGGCGGCTGACTAATCCTGCATGAGATGGACCAAGCAGGTGTGTTTATCCAAAGCTGCTGTTGTTCTGGAATAGCTAACCCAACCAGGGCAGCTCATTGTGCCTTAACACAGACAGGGGCAGGGGGCAAAATTAAAGCCCCGCAAAATTAAACTCTGCCACTTAGGTGATGCCGACGCCCAGCGACCCTATAGGATGGGGTAGCCTTCCACTGTCTGTCTCCACATACAGACCGTGGCACATGTGCCCTTACACAGAAATACTCTGCAGCCAGGGAGGCAGACAGACCTGCGCTAAGATCTCCCAACGATGAGTTTTGCAAAAAGGCAAGGAGTGGTACAACACATCTAGCAAAACCCCAAACTCACTGCCATCATCAATTCAGACTAAAGGACAGGGTAGGACTGACTCCCGCTGTTTCCAAGATGGTGACTGCAGGAGCCCAAAGCCCCGTTTCCTCCCCGGAGAGCTAGTGGTGCCCACTGCTGAGCTTGCAGTTAGGAGCCAATGTGCAGCCACCACCAGGGGGCTTCAAAATATTTGTGGAAAAACCCCATGTTAGTCTCACTTTCCCACAAATTTTAAAAGCCCCTTGAATAATCTGTCGAAAGGTGTGCAAAAACTGGGTAATGATTCGGGAGCTGAAGGTCCAGGGGGACAATTACTTTTCATTCTTTCTTGGGTTTTTTTTAACCATGTATATTATATACTTGAAAATTTTTTATTTAAAAAAAAAGGGGGGATGGGTAAATCACATTATTAATTTGACTGGCTCATAGGAAACATCCATCTCCTACCCAGAATGTCTTCTCAGGACTATCCAAGAATCAAACTGTTTGTGCTTTCAGACCCTGCCAGTGATGTGTGAACTTTAAGTATGACTTTCACTTCTAAGCATAATGTAAAGAGGCCGCTCCTCACCACCCGCCACACCCCCAGCATCCTTCATGACAATAGGGTCCAAAGCCATGTCCATTTTCACACGCCCACCCTCAGGGACATGTGAGGAGCCCACTGCCCAGTTTACAGTCACTTTCCAAGCAGTGAAGGGCAGGTGCGGGCAGGCTGGCTGGGAAGAGTTCCAGACAGCCCCCCAGCCTTACCTTCGGCAGATTCCACACAGCATGCCGTCCCCTCGCCCAGTACCAGGTCCTCACAGGCCCGGGGCAAAATAGACGTTAATCGTAGGTCACTGAATGACTTAGAGCACAGTGTTCTTTGCCGTGGCCCCTCCCAACCGCCCCCCAAAAATTTCTTAACAGAATATCAGAGTATTGCAACACTTTATTAAGAGTATTGGCTTTGAATTAGCAGCTGGAGTAACAATTGCATGAAGCCAGATTAGGTGTACTGCCTAATACTCACACTTGATTTATTGACATTACTTAGCAATTCATTGGACAAAGGTCAAACTTTTTGTTTTTTATTAAGCACATTCCACAGTACAAAGCTGTCATGAATAATATCTGTACAATTTAACAGTATCAATAGCTGTTCAGACACAAATTTATTTCCAACAGATAATTGGCAAACATAATTAATTACAAGTTAGAAGTAGACTAGCTGAGTGTTCTGAAACATGACCACAGCAGTAATTTACAGTTGCTCAATTACGGTTAGCAAAATCAAGCCCAGAGTGCGGCTGGGACTTCCTACTGCCCAGCCCGTCACAATTCCTCGGTGTCAAGTGCCCCGCTCTAATTTAGTAGGCACAATTCAAAGGCTGTGTGCATAGTCCAAGGCCATGATCTCCCAAGGACAAAGAGGGACTTCATTAGACATGCAAAAACAACAGCAGAGAATCTATCCTTTCCAAAGAATTGCCTCCCCCTGCCTCCAAGCCCTGCCCCGGACTTTCCTAACCAGTTTGCTATGAAAACTCTTAGGTGAGGAGCAGGGAAAGGGCCCCGCACTGCCACACCACTGTCACACTTATAGTGGCCACCTAAGGACCACAGAGATTTGTTCCTTACACTCTGATACTTAACCCCTCAAAAACAGAAACCCATCAAGTAGCATACGGGAGGGGGAAGATCCATGTTAAAAATGAAGGGGGTAGCAGGGGAGGGCAGGGGCAACTACGAAGCTACACCATCCCGATAAATCATGTTCACACATATTGATCCCCACACCATTTGCAATGCAAAGGACTGAGCTGAGCCCAGCATGTCCCTTTAGCAGCGCAGGTGTGCTCTCCCAGGGAAAGCCCTCATTACCAGGGGGTGGTTTATTGGTCCTTTAAAGTGTTACCGACATTCCTTAATCTTTGGAAATAACGGGTAAATCAAAGCCTAGCATTGAATGAGGCAAGAGGAAGGCCGGCTGGACAGCAGGGTCCTCTTCATGCATGGTCAGTGTGACAGTATCACTCACACATTTGGGACCCGGTGTACTCAGGTGCTCAGAGAACCTGCTGGGGCCACAGCCAAATAACCACAAATTCCGGGGGTGGGAATGGGTATTCACAAGCTTGAGGCCTTGTGTCCACTCAGAATAGGATTCTGAGCCAGACTGACCTCGTAAGCCAGGCTCACACATTCAAGGAGGGAGGCCCTGCTGACCCCTGGCTAGATGTAGCCTGTGGCTCCTGCGGGCGGGAGGATACAGTGATTCTAGAGCTAGGGACACCCAGTCAACACAACCTTCTTCTCCTGTCCCTCCCTGGGTCACTAACACACAGAGCTGTAATTGTTGACAGTAAACCAAATGAATGCTACGGGAGATGCCCACTAGCACTCAAGTGTACGTTCAAGGGAAAGACCACCACCACCACCACCACCACCCCAAAAAAACAAAACAAAGTTAAGGTACCTCTCTATTGTTATACAATTCACAACAAATGAAACATTTTAATTTTGTTAAACTTTAGAAATTACATCTTAAAACAAGATTCCCATTTAAAACTCACATGCGCGCGCGCGCACACACACACACACACACACACACACACCATGACAACAAAATAAAAACACCGTGTGAATACTGCAGGAAGGGTTCAAGGTAATCCACATTACCCCTGGGGTCAGTCGGGCCCGTCGTGGCCGAAGGTGAACGCCCTCGTCGTCAGTGTCTCGGACACAGGGGCCCTGAGGTTCCACTGTATGTACATTATTATCTACATGCGGACACAGGGTTTTAAATTAGGAGGCAAGCACACATGTAAAGGTGTTACTCTACCAAATATCAGGAGACAGTACAGAGAACAGTTAAAAGAAAGCTGCTATATTACCTGTGGGGCAGTAATATAACTAGGCTTATAGTTCTTTAAATTAAAAGAAATTGGTTCAGAAAGAAAAGTATAATCCAAAAAATATTACTAAAACAATCCAGAAAGATTTTCCCATTGTCCAACAAACTCCTAATACGAGTCAGAGTTCATACTGTCTTGGATGGTCAGGAAGAGAATGCTGACTTCTGAAAAGGAGAGCCCTGGGCATTCTGGGTAGGTGTTTGGCACCCAAAATTCCTCTGACAAGAATGCTGTTCCTTAATATCACACCAAAGTGCAAAGCAATATAAATTAGAGGCCAAGTCTTCTCTGGATGGTCAATCTACTTCGGTAAAACTGACGGCTTGTTCCTTTTGTCTGAACGATTTACATTTGAAGCATTAGATTGTGTTTGCCATTGAGGGGAAATGGGCTTCTGTTCTATTTGAAGTCATGAAGCTAAGGTATCCTTCTCAGAGAAGAGGCCAGCAGCCAGGTGAGAAATGTCGGTACTTGCAAAGTGTGGCTGCTCCGAATCTACCCAGCATCTAGAACCAACTCCAGCTTCATAACTCAGCTGTGCACGAACTCTCTCAGGCATTTGGTGGCCATGTAGCCAGTAGTTCAAGAGTAGGAAACCCTGAAAGAAAGAAAAATGAGTATGTGGATGATTAGACTAGGGTCTATATTCAGCACACAGAGACACACCCTATCCAACTATCACAGAGAAAAGACAACCAATTTTCACACAGCATGCAAAATAGAAGTGCAAAGTGTTGTGTATACTACATACGAGGTATTATATTTATTTAAACCTCACAATAACTTTGTGAGGCAGAAAGCATTATTATACCCACTTCACAATTTGAGAACTAGGGCTCAGAAAAGTCATGGGGTTAGTTCAAAATGTCAACCAGAAAGTGGCACAGAGGCAATTCACAGAGCGGTCTAACTTGACAGCCCATCACCTTCCAGTGCCATGGCTAATAAGTGCACACATAACAAAATATGCTCCCAAGTTAGCTTTTATGTTGAATGTGATCTCCGACGACAGTGAGCCTTCCAGGATCTGTTTCATGCCCACCCGAGAGCCCTCATCAACCTTTGTGGAGCACTTGTATTAAAGCTACTAAGTACGTTACCAAATGCCAACAATCAAAATTAGCATTTAAAAGAACCACATGTGCAGGAAAGATCACGGAATATTCCATATTTTTTAACCATGGCCTTGAGTAAAAAACACATTTAAATCACTTCTTCTGCTGTCATCCATGTATGTAAATATGTACACAAATACATGCACACACCTCCAACAGCGGCCATCAAACTGTGTCATTACTGTGTGTGATGCAGTTTGACCTTTCTGCTCTAAATTCCATCCACGTGATTTCCAAATCCAAATCACCAATGGGTAACGACCCTTTTCAAACACTGCACTACGCCACTGGTTTACAAGATCTAAAAACACCTCTAGGTCTAAGATTCTACGTTTGTTTGTTTTTCAAAGCTTTTTACAACTTTTTTCCTCAAAAGAAAAATCTCTTTAAGGAACCTTTTCCTTAAAGATTGTCAATTTCTATAAAGTCCAGGAATTCTAGCAAGAAGTCTTCTCAGTGAACTTAAAACAGAGTCCATTTCATTCGCACTGCCTTTCCATTAAGGACATTCAATAGCATGGGAATTACTTTGAGATGACAAATACCCAGAGATTAGAAGCGGGCACTCAAACCTGCTGGCGGGAGTGTAATCGGATTTAACTCTCCTGGAGGGGAACAGGAGCCAATGCTTCAGGCTTTAAACCTGAGACCTTTTGGCCCAGACACTCCAGACATTTCTAAAATTAATAAAGGCTGGACAAAAAAATTAATCTAAAAGAATGAGCATGGCAAGATTTTTGATAAAAGCAAAAAAGCGGGGGGTAGGGTGGGGGGCATTAGTAATAACAAGTGGGAATGATCATTTAAGTGATTACTCTCAATAATGACAATTATTGTAGCAATTTCATAATGAAGAAAGGGGAGGGGACTTTAAAATTAACAAACACATTTATAAGCTATCATTTTAAAAAGATAAACACAGAAGATTTAACAGTGATGAACCATTTTCAACTGCTGAATATACTCAATGATGCTATATTGTCTTAAGAAAAATAAGGAACTTTGAGGAAGCGCACACACACACCCCCAGCCCCACCCTCGGGACTGTGATTGTCGTTGTTAGGCGTCATCAAATTCCGATTCACAAGAATTTGCACACAACAGAACAAAAGCCTGCCCAGCCCCGTGCCACCCTCACCACGGCTGCTGTGCTTGAGGCTAGTGTGCTGCCATTTGGTCAAACCATCGCAGTAACCATCTTCCTCTTGTTGTTGTTGTTTTTGTTGTTTTTGCTGACTCTGTCTTAAAAGTAAGTGACTTAAAAAACAAAGGCTTGGCAAATAAATCTATTGGCATAGTTCCTGGTATTTGGAGGTGAATATTTTACAAGGTTAAATTAACACTAGGGTTGTTTTTCTTATGTAAACATCTTATAATATCACATGGTAGGAATTTTTTCATATTATAATAAAAGTATTTGGAAAGGAGCAGTAAAATCTATCAACTTGATTGCCAAGTTTGTCAAAAGCAATTCATTTTGAGAAGAGAAACACACTTGGGGTTTTACCACTAGTGCTGGGATACAGGGAGCACTACCTTGACAAGCAGGGAAGATTTTTTCGGTTGACTTACAATCCTATGTCATCACAAGGCGACGGCTGGAAGGGAAAGGCCACGTTGGTGTTGCCACCAGAGCAGCCAGAGGGAGACGGCACTGGTGGTCTGTGGGAGCTCTTGCAACGAAAGGGATCTTGTTTCGGGTCACTTTGCGAAAGTCTAACAGTTGCCCAGTTTATGAAAGTTTACTTTGTCCTACTCTTAATCTACTCAATATGCCAGGTGGGAAGAAGTGCTCCATGTATCTGAGCTATTGTTATGTGGCCCTCTGAAACAGAGTGTTGAGACACACAGGTCTGTCAACAATCCCAAAGAGGTGCACTGCATCACCAAGTCTACCCGCTCAGCTGTGCTGGTCCATCCCCGCCGTCTGCTAGGCGGAAAACACCGCACGAAGGGAGCGCAGCTAACACAGGGAAGAGAAACGGATGAAGGCATTTTCAGAGCTTCCATTGGGGGCAAAAAGAAAGAAAGAATGGAATAAATTTCACCAAAGATGCATGAGACACTAAAAACGGTGAAAAACCATTCCTAAGATGGAAATTCTCCCCCAAGTAGTCCCAACCATAACCCCGTCACCCTTACGTAACGTGACAATCTAATTCAAAAAAGAATACGAAAAATCTGAAGGACTTAGCATAGTCAATGCCATTTATAATAAGAAGGAAAGGTCGGGTGTCTTTATATTTTCAATACTTAATATAAAACTAAAATAAGACAACGTGGTTGGTATTAGATTGGTGAAAAGGCAGCCGTAGAGAACATGAAAGAGAATCTAGAAATAGGCCTACATACAATGGTCACTTACCGTTTATACTCAAGTATAAGCCAAGGCACCTAATTTTACCACAAGAACTGCATTAAAAATGTGTTGAAAGCACTCGGCTTATCCACAAGTGTATACGATATATTTTTGCAAAGGTGCTAAAGAAATTCTCAACAGGAAGAGTCCTGTCAACACATAGTGCTAGAAACAAGAATATTGACCCCCTAATTACACACCAGATACAAAAATTAACTCTAAACAGATCAAAGACCTAAACATAAAAACCCAAACTAAATCACAATTAAAACTACATTGGTCCAAACATGGTAGTCAATAGCCAACATGTGCTCATCTAAATTTAACTACAAATTAAAATTGGATACAATTAAAAATTCAGTTCTCCAGTTGCATGAACCACAATTCAAGCATTCAGAATTCGCACACGGCGCCTGTGCCGTTCTAAAAATACAAACTAGTATTGTGCTAGGAAGCAGTCAGTGGTGGCCAAGGTTGGGTTAGGGACAGGCTAACAAGGTGCACAAAGAGACTTCTGGGAGTGACAGATAAGTTCTATCGCGACTGCACGGAGGTTACAGGGAGGTGTATCGTTGTAAAAATGCATCAAGCAGACAAAAATTCCTTTATCTGCGGCCAGAGTGCTCCTTAAGAAGCAAGGACGGCAAGGCTCTGTCTTCTGTACTCCGGATGCTGTCAGGAGAGAGGCCGCATGCTTGGTGAAGGGGAGGGGCAGGGACAGAGAGGGAGGCCCCGGAGCAGACGGACTGACACCATGGCTGCAGCGATGGGCTCAAGCGCAGAAACAGCTGTGACCAAGCAGGGTTTTGCTCTGCGGTGCGGACGGTGCTTATGGGTCAGAATCGACTGAGGACACCTAACAACAACATTCCAGAAACGTCTGCAGCTCACTCAAAGAAACAACCTGCTTTCCAAATCATAGTTCAACAAACTTGACCTAAAGAAGCAAAATAACAAAAATATCAGGAGGCCCCTGGTTGGCAAAAACATTTTGTGCTCAGCTGGTAGCCAAACGATGGGCAGTTTGAACTCAACCAGTGGCACATCAGTAGAAAAGGCCTGTCGATCTACTTCTGCAAATATTGCAGCCAAGAAAGCCCTGTCGGGCACCTGTTCGCCGAGACACATGGGCTCACCCGAACTTGAATCAACTTGACGGCACAAACAACAAGGGGGCCTGGTCTACCTTAACAGGGCAAAGAGAGGCAAAGGTAGGTCTAGGTCAGTGTAGGGGCTTGTTGTGGAGGGTTTTTTTTTTATATATTTGATGAAGGTAACTTATTTGGTCTCACAAGTATTTAATGACTATGGGACAAATTCTTGCATGGGGCCCAAGAAAAGGGGCACAGCTGTATCATGTTGGCCCTGAGGAGCATCTGCACTGTAAACATCAATGTGTGCTCCGAACACTTTAGACACTAGACCAGGTACTGGGTTACAGGAGAAAAGGGAGCTCCTACGATTTGTGAAGGAGACATATAAGCCCAAAATGTCATGACCAAATAACGGAGGAAGGCAAGGTGAATGGGAATGCTAACAGCACACGCAAGGGGAGGTGTGTGCTAGTACTACGTGGTCAGGGAAGCCAGCTGAATTCCCTTTAGTTGGAGGCTGGATTCGGACAGGAATAATGGGAGACCAGGATGGGGTGGGAGGGAGAAAGAGGAACGATGAAAATAGCTGCATGTTGAACCTCTGGCTGGCCAAACTCATTCACTAAGGCTCGATCCTGAAGACAGCAGGGAGGCATGAAGCAGGGCCGTGCCAAGGCTAAGGCTGCCCTGACTAGCAGACGGAAGGAGGCTAAGCTGAAGGGCTGGGAAACCAGCTGTCCTTCCCTGCATCTTCCTTGAACGTTTCTAGAAAGTAGAGAGCAGGGAAGAACAGTCGTTCATGGGATACTAGCTTCCCGCCTCGGTGATTAATCATCCTGACATGGATTTTCCAACTGACCTAGGAGCTATCCAGAGAGTAAATACCAAGAGAGAAGGCTCCCATCACAAGGCACTTGAGATCTGGAACGGCAAGATAACCGTGGTTTATGGGCCACCTCAGTTCACCTCCCAGCCAAGGCAGACGGGGCCGACCCTCATGGTACTCATTCCAGAACACTCCTAAGGCCACGCTGCGGCCAGCCACTCCTGACCCAGCAAACTCCCAGCAGAAAGACACGTGTTTGTCACTCGTGATGCAGCCCCATGGCTTCTCACTAATAAACAGAGCAGTGGCAAGACTAAAGGCTCGCATATGTTTTCTTACAGGACATTACAGTAAATATTTGAGATGCTAAGGGCCAGATGGCCTCTGTCACCAACACTCCACTCTGCTACTGAAGCACCAAGAGCCAGGGACGATGCGTACATGAACGACTATGGCTGTCTTCCAACATTACGTTCTTCATGGGCAGTCTCATTTGAATTTCCTATCATTTTTTTAAACGTGTCATAAAATACTACTGCTCATTTAACTTTTTTCCCCAAGCATTCTGAAATGTAAAATCCATGCTTAGTATATACATAGTTTATTTTAAAAAGGGGGGGGGCGGGCAGGGAGGTATGGGGTGCCAGGCATTGGGCCGATACAGTAGCTGGATAAGCCAACCTCTGGGTAAGACAGACTTTCAGGAGGAGAGTTCCTTATTGAATCTTACAATCCTGAAAAGCAGAGTACATGGAAAGGTAGCAACTTGGCACTCGAGGTTATCAGTGGGGTTCCCAACCTTTACATTAAATAAAACTACCACCATTCTGTAGATGGGTTTTCATTTATACTCTTCATAAATGAGCAGAAAAGGCTATAATAATAAAAAGCCATTACGAAGCAAGCACTTCTTTTGAAACAGATATGAGTTTTACTAATCACAATGTGTTCTAGTGCAAATGCAGACAAGATTCACTGGCCCCATGCAAATTCCAGAGTTCAGAACCACTGCTCTAACGCACATGGTCATCAGCGTCCAAGGACACAGCCAAGTGTGGCTTGCATGTTCCAGAGTAGACCCCTTGGTCATCAACATAAACTGTCATCAGCGGTTGTGATGGCTCTAAGTTGCCCTGCAGGTAGAGAAAAGGACGGTGCTTCTCGGGATACCTGTTGTAGCTCATGGATGAAGAAGGGGTTTTGGTGCCCCCTCAACAAAGACTTCAATTTCTCAGAAGATAATACAAGTCTATCAGAAGGGAAACTCTTCTGATTTCCTCCTGGGACAGTGACAGTGCTGGGGACAGGGTGATTTTCTTTTTGTAAATAAAAGGTCGAAGGGAAATGAAAATTAAAGTTCCTGTCCTTGTGAACAGAATTCTGGGAACTTGCTGACATTAAATTGATATGCCCTAGAAAATCATTTACGAAAAGATCATTTCGTTTTGTTTGGTTTTTTTAAATCATTTTATTAGGGGCTCATACAACTCTTATCCCAATCCATTCACACATCAATTGTGTAAAGCACATTTGTACATTCATTGCCCTCATAATTCTCATAACATTTCCTCTCCACTTAGGCCTCTGGCATTAGGTCTTCATTTTTCCCCTCCCTCCCCGCTCCCCCCTTCCTCATGAGTCCCCCATAATTTATAAATTGTTATTTTGTCATATCTTGCCCTGTCCGACGTCTCCCTTCACCCACTTTTCGGTTGCCCGTCCCCCAGGGAGGAGGTCACATATAGTTCCTTGTAATCGGTTCCCTCTTTCCTACCCACTCTCCCTCTACCCTCCCTGTTTCGCCACTCACACCACTGGTCCTGCAGGGCTCATCCGCCCTGGATACCCTGTATTTTCAGTTCCTATCTGTACCAGTGTACATTCTCTGGTCTAGCCAGCCTTGTAAGGTCGGATTCGAGTCATGGTAGTGGGAGCGGGGAGGAAACATTTAGGAACCAGAGGAAAGTTGTATTTTTCATCATTGTTACATCGCACCCTGACTGGCTCATCTCCTCCCCGAGACCCCTCTGCAAGGGGATCTCCAGTGGCCTACTAATAGGCTTTGGATCTCCACTCCGCACTACCCCCATCATTCACTATGGTAAGATTTTTTGTTCTGATGATGCCTTACACCTGATCCCTTTGACACCTCGTGGTTGCATAGGCTGGTATGCTTCTTCCATGTGGGCTTTGTTGCTTCTGAGCTTGATGGCCACTTGTTTACCTAAGATCGTTTTTTTAAGAAACAGACTTCACATGGGTTTTCCACATGAAATCCCATAATATGCAAGATTCCAACAGAGCCCTATCTTGATGACTATAGAGATCTTTGCGTCCGGGAGTGCAATGGTCACTGCTGACTGAAAGGGCGGCAGTTCCCGGCCACACAGAGACACAGCAACACAATAGTCACTGGAGGCCCTCTGGGGCCTGGTTCTACATGCACCCCCGTGTGATCCGTTTTTATACTACAACTCAGCGAAAGCCAGCCCGTTTAATACACACCATCACCTTGCATCATGTGACCCAGAAACCCAAAACACGAAACCGCCCCCAAAAGAAACAAGAATGCAATCAGCAAAACTGAACAGGCAGGATGTACTCACCTGAAATGGGTACAAAGTGCAGACTGTTATCTGGAGATGTAAGTGTATGTTCTGGAGGGAGAACGGGTTTCATTCTGGGCACTGGGAGGCACATTTAAGAAATCCCAAATCAATATAGTGTCGTCATGGGAGCTGCTGATGATTTGAAATTCATCAAATTGTAGCCGAAATACACGTCCAGAATGTTCCTATGAAATTTAACAGTTTAATGAGTAAAATGGGAGCCTTAGCATCCTTCTTCTCTGCCTACAAGGGATTTCATAAAGGCTTCTAGACCCATGTCCAGAACTCAGGGATCTCTGTCCTCTACTCCAGAAACAAACCCACTCTTCATTCCGGCTCTTTTCTGTTATTGAGGTTTGGATACTAGATCCTGGCCCCTCAGTATATGAAAGAAGTGATGTGATCATCTCACTGAGCAGTCTTACAAAGGTAAGCAATAATATTGAATACCCACTCTTAATACAGTGTAATAACTAGACTGTTTTCAAAACATGATCAAGGATCTCTGAAGCCAGAGCTAACATCAAACTCAATGATAAAATAGAACAGTCTCATGATAACACCTAAGAAATACAATAGCATCAACCAGGCTATCAGAAATAAGTGTAATAAAATTGCCGAAACAAAATGAATATATAATGTATTCCATATGTGCTAAAGCAAGAATACACATTGGGAAAAACATCACACTAATACAAAAGTGTGTAAAAATATAACACAGCCACAGAGATCCTTATTATTAACACGCCTCCTGACTCCACCCAAAGGAGTACTTAGGAAGAGCCCTGTCACTCTACAAATGAGTGCCTGCTTTCAGATTTTAATGACAGGCCCACTCCTTAGTCAATGGCAAATAGCCTGATCTTAGTTAAACAAAATTAACAGACCCACGAAGCTCTCTGCAGACATGCTGTGAGAGATTCAGACTTTCCCGTGTTCTACCCGGGCTGATGCCCCCCACCCCCACCCCGCCGACCGACGCCCATGTCCCATGTCACATATCACATACCACCAACGTGCGTAAACACAAGGTGCTTGCAGGGGCTCGAGGGTCAAGAGCAGCTTGTAAGTCCCAAACTTTAATTTTCCTAGAAAGGGAAAAAGATCACCGTGAGTAGAAAAATTAAAGCGGTATAGCCATTTAAACAGTCTATTATAAACACTACAGTTTCCACCCACACCACGCCAATGAAAAGCGCCCTTGCAGGGGACCGTGCTTATGTTTCACAAATCATCTGCCCCAGGCACACTGGATAGAGGGGCAGGGGCGGGGGAGCGCCTGCACACCCTCAGAAGGGCTGAGATTGTGAAGAAATGTTATTTTAAGGGAGACAAGAAAACAACTTCAGGTTATCTCACTTTCAATTCCTCCCGTGATAATCTATGTCACCAAATTCATTAATCAGGGGGCTCTCGGGCTGAGTAGGTGCTGCTGACAGAGGCGAGGGCTCTGTGTGAAATTCCAAGGATACCTTTCTCCCAAGGAAGCAAATGCTGGAAGTACTAGTAGGCCTATCAACAGATCAACGAGACCATTGTGAGGTGTACATAGGGCATCTTGAAAGGTTTATGGTTGCCGTTTGCTCAGTCAGGAGGTCGTGAGGCTTTCTGAGATGATTTGTTCAATTTAGCAAATGGGGGCAAGAAACATATTTAACTCACACACAATACACCCAAGCCTGGTTTAATTTAGAGCTAAGGCAAAGTTCACCCCACAGGCTAAACTACTCCCTGAACTTACGATTACAATGTCCAAATGAGCCGAAGCTGAAGAGCCACAGAGCAGGCCTGGCTGTCTGTGCTCACCCAACCCAGGGCATAGTAGTACCTGTCACCCGCCCTTTATGCAGAAAGTGCCTCGCACAGCACCTCACCATCCAGCACGCCGTTCCTCCTGATACAGTCATAGCAACACATTGGAAAGTTGGAAAAACATACCCATCATAGGCCCCACTGACAATCCTCTTGTTATCAAACCGGATGCAACGGACCAATTCTTCATGTCCCTCTAGGACTCTGAGACAGGCACCGCATTCAATATCCCACAGCCTTGAAGGGAAACCAGTGCTCTGTGAAACAACTGCACACACACATGGCTCACACCCGCCTCAGTTTTCTACATGTCCCAGACGGTAGCTTCCCTATCCTAGAGCACCAAGTTTTTGTCACACTCCCGTATTCACAGCTATATACACACATCTATAGAACCTGTATTTTAAGCACTAACTTGGAAGTCTTACTCTGCATTTTATTTTGCTTTATACAGTTTGAAACTTCATAAAATCATGTGCATGTAACATTCCTTAAGTAAGATCAACAACAACAAAAACTTTGATTATAGTTCATTCCTAAAGCATTCCCTTGCTAACTGGTTCCTGGGTGATGCAGGCGGTTTACACTCCAAGATTCACTGAAAGGCTGGTGTTCAAACCCATACAATGGTCCATGGAAGAAAGGCCTGGAGATCTGCTTCTATAAAGATTGCAGTAAAAAAATCTTAGGGAGAACTTGGACTCTACAACATATGGGGGTCACCATGACTTGCAATCAACTTGGCAGCGACAGGCTTGGTTGGCTCTTTATGTCTGAGTTGATGCATGCAGCCAAGTGGTCTTGGAATGACTTCCCTGGGGGTGGAGAGCGGAGACACGCAGGCAGTGAAGGAGAAAGAGGACGTGAGTATGTAGGGTGGGATGGGGAGATCATCCATCCAAGAGGGCAGCATCCACCCCTGGCACTTCTAGCCTCGAGTTTGAGGTTGGCTGGGATTAGAACTAGAGGACCATCTCCTTCTTTGATGGTGGGTTGTCCAGTTTATAGGATCAAAGTGGGAGACTCGTGTTAAGTAGATGCAATGTCAGAGAAATACAATCCTAATGGCTAAGTCTAGCAAAGGATTTGGAGAGCAATTAGAGTAACAATTGGAGACTTTCCCTTCTGTTGTTTTTCCCTTTTTTCCTTCTATTGTTTTTCTACATTATTTTCAAAAATAAACCATAGCAACTACCATGTACAAAGCAAAGTTGGCAAACTCATTCTCTTCTGAACTCTTGGTGCCTCTCCACCAGTAGCTCCAATCAGACATCCAGGGAGCATTCACCACAGTGAACGCTCAGCAAACCTAACCCATGTTAAGAGATACTCATTTTGCCAATCTACTGTGAGCAGACTCATTCAGCACTGCCAATATGGTCCCACAGCGGTTCCCATCTGCAGCTAGGAGAGTGAACTCATTGTTACTTTCTTGTGACTTCAGACTCTGGCAAGGACGTGAAGGCTTCAGTGAAGCCTTGAAGCCTGCTGGCTGCAGCAAGGCAGTTCAGAGCCCACACTGGCTTTGTGCTGTCTTAAAGCTGGAAACAGTAAAAGTCACGCAACAAAAACAGTTCAGAGTCCACACTGACTTTGTGCTGTCTCAAGACTGAGAACAGTAACAAGTCACGCAGCAAGGCAGTTCAGAGCCCACACTGGCTTTGTGCTGTCTCAAGACTGAGAACAGGAAACGTCACCAGCAGTCACAGCTAGCTCGCTTTCTTTTGCTATGCGTTCTTTTTTCACTTATAAAACAAAAGCTTCCTCCCTGTCACTATTATGATCCCAATTCTACCTTACAAATCTGACTAGACCAGAGGATGTACACAGTATAGGTAAGAGCTGGAAACACGGGAAGTCCAGGACAAAAAACCCCTCAGGACCATTAATGAGAGCAGCGATAACAGGAGGGTAAGGGAAAGGTGGGGGAAGAAGGGGGAACCGATCACAATGATCTACATATAACCCCCTCCCTAGAGAGACAAACAACAGAAACGTGGGTGACGGGCCACATCGGACAGTGTAAAGCATAAAAAAAAATAATTTATAAATTATCAAGGGTGAGGGAGGGAGGGGAAAAAATGAGCTGATACCAAGGGCTCAAGTAGGAAGAAAATGTTGTGAGAATGATGATGGCAACAAACACACAAATGTGCTTGACACATGGATGGACTGTGATAAGAGTTGTATGAGCCCCCAATAAAATGATTTATAAAAAAAAATTTTTAATAAACTTCAACTACCCTCTTTTACACTTGTATTAAGCTACTTGGTTATAATTCCCAAAGTTATAGTTATTTGTGTTAAGATGTTACCATGTGTTGCAAAGGAAAATTGACTTTCAATGACAGAACAGGTAACTCAGGGAAATCCTTTAATATGAAATACAATGTTTAGGGATGACCATAATTATTCGACAGCAAGGAAATTGAAGCAAAGGAAGAAAGACAAGAGGTAAAGCAAATGACGAAACAAGAGAAGCTGATTTCACAGCGCAGCTTTGGGAGAGAGAAATAAAGTGCCTGCCATCTGTTTGGGATTGGGGGTTGGAGGCTCACAGGGAGCAGGGTGGCTCACAGCCTGCAAGAGTCAGTGGGCTGGGGCAGCCACTGTGTTCTGAGGAGGTATTAAGTGATCCTGGATGGAGTGGAGATTTAAAACCTTACGTACTGGGGGAATCTTGGTACACTCAGGGTGTATAGTTCTGCAATAGTATTGCAGCCAAATAGATTACTTAAGCGTTCCCAAAGTTTTCTTAAGGACCCCTGGTAGCACAAGGCCAACCACAAGGCCAGCGATTTGAACCCACCGTTCTATGGAAGGAAGATGAGGTTGTCTACTTCTGTAACAATTTAAAGTCTTGGAAACTGACAGAGGTAGTTCTATCCTGCCCTACAGTCACGATGAGTCAGAAGCACCTTGGTGGTAATGGGTTTGGTTTTTTGGTTTCTTTTGTTGTTGAAAGTTTCCTTTCTGAAATATCCCATTTATACTGAGTCTTTAGAGCATTAGGGAAAGGGTGAGTCAACACCGGGACATAAAAACCCTGCCCGCGCTGCTTGGGAAGCCATTGCTACTCACCTAATGGTGTTATCCGACGACCCGCTAACAACGAGTCGATCCCGGTACTGCAGGCAGGCAATGCCTCGCTTGTGCCCATTCAGAGTCCGGACAAACTCACAGGTACTCGTGCTCCAGACCTGTACAAAGGGTTAGTAATGTTTTAAGAGTGGATAGTTATGCCATCACACACCTTGAAACCCAAGAGTCAGAACTTCTGAACATGACCCAAAGCGTTCTTTCCAGAAAAGAAGGGTAAGTCAAAAAGTACTGCTGCCGGGGAACTACGTCTCAGTGGATGCCCACAGGCAGCTAAGTAAGAAAGAACAACAGACACTTTTGGTGCCTTGGGAAAAATGACTTTTGAGATCAAGGCTGACAGCAAATTTGTAACAAAACTCAAGTGGACATCTTTCCAAATCATTGAAGCTTTGCAACAAGCTAATAGGAATGCCGCCAGAATGAACCAGCAGTTTCGAGATGGATCAAATGTGTTAAGAAAGATTTGGAAGGCCTTAAAACTGAGCCCATGGAGCAAAGGCTCCCAAACTTTGTGTGAACTGCCAGCCCCCCGCCCCCCTGCAATTTAACACTTCCGTACTACAGCCCATAATCTAAGGTACAATATAGACATCTGCTTTGGAGGGCCCCTCGGCTCACCCAGCAGGGGAGAAGTACCACCCATTTTGGGAGACAATCCAACAGAGGGAAGATCATCAACTTCGGGAACCGAGAAACTGTGGCTGAAGTCCAGAAGGGGATGGGGGGCTGTAGAATCACCACTGGTAGGATAGCTAGTGAAGTAAGGAGCTCACATTGTTCATTATTTTTTATTCTGAGCAAACATCTTGGCTTCAAAATCTTGGCTTTCAGGTTCATGAGTGCCAAAAGCATTGCACAAAGATCAGCTAGCTCAACGGGATAATCCTGTCATCAGTCTTCTAAACAAGACTGAACTTAATAAAGACAATTGAATGGAATGAATCCTAACCAGGGATGAGTCTTGAATTTATCAATACAATCCAGCGAGCAAAATCTGTTCCAACCCGCAGCTTCCCAGGGTCTCTGTGGGGCCAGTTCCATTCCAGGCAGAGAGGGCTGCTCGGAAAGTAAGGACGACTGTGTTTGGGGTCTCCAAAGGGTCATCTTAGTAGACTTGTTCACAGGACACACCCAGGGTGACTTTTAAGGGCTTACTGCGAGGAAGTTTGAAGAAAATGGAAGGCTGTGTTGGTTTGACAAAGGCCAGAAAAGTTGTGCCAAGGCATTTTTTCCAACAACAGCCTGCTCATTCTTCAAGGGCAGCACGGGCTGTCCCATGAAGATTTCCTAGGGAAACCCCACCCCATGCACCTTGTAGCTTTGATCTTGCCAGTTTCAAATGTTCTTCTGTTCCCAGAACCTAAATAGCATTGAAAAGGAACATGATTTGAGCCCATCAAGGATGCCAAAGCTGCCATTTTGACATAGCATAAACTGAGGAGCTGGGAATTCTTCAGAGAAGAGTTAAGAGATGGAAACCAGGCCTTCAAACATAGGTACACCTAGTAACAACAAATAAAATTACTAAGGGAAAAAAGTGTTAAAATGTTATAGACCTAGATAGAGGATATGTCAAGAAACAAGAGCGTCACGTGTTGATATTTTTGTTTAAAAAGGCTTTCTATGATTTTGGAGCAGTACTTCTGACTCAAGGCTGGGAAGCTGGAGGAAGAGACTGGACAGCATAAAATTGTCTTGGCTGCTGAGTGATAATAAAACTAGATTAAATGAGAGAGGGAAATTGTCAAGCCTCCAAACCTTGAGCTCTTCAAAAGAGATCAAGTCATCTCCTGGATGGTTTAGCCATTCACTTGCTTAGGGGGCAGAGTTGGGGCCAAAAGTTCTATTTTTATGCCAGGAGGCATGTCAAACCCAATGGAGCTGATGGAAAAGGCTTCACCTTTCTGGCCAGTATGGCTTCTTCAACAGCTCCACTTGGTTTGGTGCGTCACTGCTGAACACTATGTATGTGGAACAAGTCACCTCTTTTGTGAAATCATCTACAAGAACTCAATCATCTACAAGAACTCAATGTTCACAGATATACTTAATAGATTACAAGCTAAAAAAAAAAACCAAACAGCCATCAAACCAGACAGGATAGAACTGCCCTAGTGGGTTTCCATGGCTGCATAACTCTTCATGAGTACAGAAAGCCTCATCTTTCTCCTACAGAGCAGCTGGTGGTTTTGAACTGCTTACCTTGTAGTTTGCAGTCCAATATATTATCGCTACACCATGAGGGCTTCACAAACTGTGGTAGTTACATAATCTGGTGTCAATTTGGGACCTGAAAGGATTAAGAGTGAAGGGGTGGAGTCTGGTCTGTCAATCGGTTTATAGCCAATGAGGCCCCTGTGTGGGCATGGCCTACCCCTGATAATTCTGGCAACTCCAGTATTTCCTCCTTGGAGGCAGGAGACACTTTTCTCTCTCTGCTCACTCCCTGGGATACTGTCTGACCAGACACAGGGTGCTACGCCCTTGGAGCTGGAGAAGCCACATGGACCTACCCTGATGCAACCAGACCCCTGAAGCAGGAGAAGCCACGTGGAGACCCCTGCCAGCGCTGAGGTGCTTTCAACACCACTGGGTCCACAAGACTTTCCACCCACTGGGCTGTGATCATCCTGCATTCGGCATCATTGCATGTATTTCGTGAGTCTGAAGAGGACTTTAGAGATTGGTATCGGACATATGGGCTAATATTGGACATGATCTGGACTGGGCTGGGATATTTTCTCAATATTCAATTGCTCTTGTATATAAACCTTTTTCTTATAAACATAGGAGTATCTACAAATTTGTTTCTCTAGTCTACCCAGACTAACACGCAAGCCAGATAGCAAAGAAGTTCCTGCATCATTTTACTGCATTTGCAACTCTGTTGGCATGAATGCTGGAGCAGCAATAAGTTTACATGCAAAAGGACACTGGAGGTGGGGAACCTAACTCAAATGGATCAAAGACCTAAATGTAAAGGCTAATACTGAAAATCTTAGAAGAAAGCACAGCAGTGTAAACCTTTGTGACCTTGAATGAGACAACAGTGTCTGAAAGAGGTAACTAAAGGTAGAGAGTTAAAATTGTTTTTGCATGAAAGGGCACAGGACACCACTGAGAAAGTGAAAGTACTCACAGAATGGGAGAAACTCGTCAAATCATATTATCTGACAAGGAACTTGTATCCAGAATACAGAAAAGACTTTTCTAAGTGAGCAATTTTTTAAAAGGGCAAAGGACTAAGACATTTCTCCAAAGATGATATGCAAATGATCAATAAGCCCACCAGAAAGGCAGATAACATGTATTGGTGAGGAAATGTAAAAACGGAATGTTCATACAATGTTGGTGGCAGGATAAAATGGTGCGGCCACTTTGGAACAGTTTGGCAATTCCCCAAAATGTGAAACACAAAATTACCAGATGCCCCAGGAATTTCACTCCTAGTTATACAAGGGAACGTCACAAAGTGTGTGGGAAAATTCTATGGTCTTCTAATTCCATTCAGCCAGGAACTTTCTAGAGTACCCTGATAACTATAAAAATATTTAACACATAGGCTAAAAGAAAAACGTACTAAAATGTCCATAACAGCATTATTCATAATAGCCAGGGAGAAACCACCCAAATATCTATAAGCTAATGAATGAATAAATAGACTAGTCTTCAGCCATGAAAGGAAATGAAGTATTAATACCTGGATGAAACTTGAAAATATTATTCTGAGTTTTAATTTTTTAAACAGGCCAGCCACAAAGGGTCACATATCGTATGATTCCATTTTATACGAAGTGTCCAGAATGGGCAATCTGAGACAGAACATAGCTTAGTGGCTGCAGGATTTGGGGAAGGCTGTTAATGAGTATCGTAGGGACTGCTAATGGGGACAACTTGTCTTGGTGATGGTGGTGGAGCAGGGAGGCCCTGGTAGCAAAGTGGGTTAAGTGTTGGGCTGCTAACCACAAACAGCGCCTCTAGAGGAGAGACGTGCAGATTCACAGCCTCAGTTCCTTTCTGCCCTGGAAGGCTCCTCTAAGTAGGATCTGCTCCATGGCAGTGGGGTCGTATGTATGTGGTTATTGTCTGATGAGTGTGCGTAGTGCTGTTGTTAGTTGTTTTGTTTTGGGGGGAGGGGGAGATTAAAATATCCTGGAATTAAATATTAAGAATGGTTATACAACCTTGTAAATATACTAAATGCCACTGAAGTGAATACTGTGAAAGGGTGAATTTTATGGTGTGTGAATTACATTATCAATAATGGTGTCACAAAAATACAAGAAAGCTAAAACTTAAAAGGTTAACATGGATATTTGAATTAGAATTGTATTTACCAGATCCTATGAATCACCCTGTGGGTGAAAGATGAGGCTTCCTGTCCCTATAAAAATGTACAGCCTCAGAAACCCTGTATAGGATCACCCCGAATCGGAATTGACTCAGCAGTAGAGGGTTTGATTATGTTTGGATACCTTAGACTGCATACGCTCATAGCAACATTGAATTTCTGGAAGATAGGAAAATGCCGTGTTCATCACACCTACAACAGCTAGCCTGGGACAGAAGGCATGGCAAGCTCTCAAAATGAGGTTCATTCAGTGGACGCATTCTATCTCAGCCCTACCACTAACTAGCTGGGTAATCTTTGGCGTTGTTCTTCACCTCTCCAAGCCGAATCTGTAATATCAGGCAATACCTACCTCAGAAGCGTGCTGCGAGGGTTCAGAGATATGACAATGTAACAGGCACGATACATGCTCAATGTGTCAGTTCTCTTAAACAATGGTATTGAGGTCATGGGACAAGCCCAGGCCCCTTTCCCCTTAACTGGCCTGTGAGTACCAGAGCATGAGGAAAGCGACGGCCCCAAGCATCACTGACACAAACAGGTCACTAGAAACCTGCCAGGTACCAAGCAGTTATAAACCATAGGATTGAGCGAGGTATGGCAGCAGACTTACTTTTATGGTCCTGTCACCGGAGGCAGACACAATGTATTTATCATCAAAGTCTACAACGTTGACAGCAGCGCGGTGGCCAACCAGGACGCGGCGTAAAGTGATGTCAGTGGCAGATGCCATGTCCCACACGGCGATGGAGCGGTCCTTGGAGCAGGTCACCATGAGGCCATTGCTGAATCGTAAGTGCAGGACAGCCTCATTGTGGTGGATCAACGTGTTCAGAACTTCACCCGTGTTCACGTCCCAAACCCTAGATGAAGATAGAGGCCTATGATGCTCAATTGTTCAGACGGCCATGAAATGAGTGCAGCGTCGGAGTTCTGGCCCCGTTCTTAATAGGAGGCCAGGTGGTATGAACACTGTGTTTGGAACTGTGACCTGAAGCTTGCTACGTGTGCAGCAGGAACCCCAGTAACCTTTTTGTTGTTGTTGTTGAGAGGGTTTCAAGAAAAACTAATTCTAGCTCTGCCAAGGGTAACATTTACTTGACAGGTATTCAGAGCTTTTTGTCTACAGGCCTGTGTTGATGGTGAAAGATGATTCAAGTCAGTGGCCCATGCAATGAGTCTGAGATGCCAGGAAGAAGGCTTAAAGGCTGGAGAATTAAGGACCGTTGCAAGCTTAAGGTTTTTTCCTACTTTTGACAGACTCTGAGCCTACTCTCCACCCACCCCCACGTGGAGGTTGTAAGTCACGATGGCTCACCAACCACTGATCCCCTTATTTACCCAGCTCTTTCTGGGCAAAGTCAGTGCCTCCCAATGACTTCGTCCTGCAGAGACAAGGTTCTTAGAGGCAGCCTTCACATCACAGCTTTAGGTCCCCTGCTTCCACCAGCGCTGCCGAGACTGACACATGACCTCGAGCAGAACTGCTGGGAGCACTGGGTCAGCAAAAGGACAGTAGGCATGCCGAGATGGGGTTGGCAGGAGTCAACAGTATGGGAAGGAACCGGAAATGAGAACTAACGCAGGAAGGAGTGAAAGGAGGCGCGTGTGAGAGCCCTCGGGGAGAATGGCTAACTACTCCAATCTCTGAGGTGCTCCTGAAATACATTTCGTTACCTGACTGCGCCCAGAGAGGCCTCTCCGGCTCACCCATACTTTTCAGGTCTTCCCCCAAGTTACCAGCAGGGCAACTGACCTGTCACTGATCCCCTCTAGGCCCGACATTCAACAGCACACCCAACTCCATTTTCCCACAGGGAAAATGTCCTGTCCCCCATGGTTCAAGAGTAAACTACAATACTGTTCCTTTCCTCTCTCAACTCCCTCAAGACAACGGAGCCTAGTAGAAGCTTCATCACTCTGGCCCTGGGGTGGCAAGCAACAAGCACTGGGTCTGTATTATGGTAACAACAACATAATCTGAAGACAACCTTGAACGATATAAACTCAAGACGCAAAACTAATTACTATATTTGACTCTGCGTGATTATTTCACCTTTCTGGTCTTAGTTTCCTAATCCACCTATTTAAAAAGGGAGAGAGTATCAACCTATTCTGAAAGGTGGTCGTGAGAATCCACAGAACAGCATTATGTTCAGCACCTTGCACACTAGCTGGTTTTACTTTCCTTGCATGCCTCAAAAGGATCAGCCGACATCTGCTTCAGATGCTAACAGGTTTCTACCCGCCACTGTGCTTGAGCATCTGCCTTTCCTCCTCTCTGCTCTGGGCCACACGCTCTTGGGAAGAAAAGGCCAGCCTGTTACCAGGCATTGTGATCTTATAGGAAAGCACAGTGCCAACCTTCTAAAGTACATCAGTGGGAAATTATTGTTGTTAGTTGCTGTCAAATCTTTCCAACTCAACACGAAGAGCAGAGCTGCTCCGCAGGTGTTTTTTTTAAGCTGTGAACTTTCAGAAGCAGGTCACTAAGCCGATCTTCTAAGGTACATCTTGGAGGGTTCCAACGACTGACCTTCACGTTAGTAGTCCACGTTAACTGTTTGTGCTACCCATAGACTCCCACAATGAAAACAGGGCCCACTTAGCCCAAACTAACGCCCCTTCCCAGCTTACTTTGATCAAGCGCATCTACACCAAGTCACTCTGAAAGACAGCATATAAAACCATATGCAAAGTATGTGCACACCGATCCCAGAAAGAGGGTGTGAGGCTCGGGATCCTCATGCCCAGAGGACAAGTTCAGATCACTGAGGTCTCACCTGACTGTGGAGTCTGAAGAGCCCGTCACAATCACACGTTCATCATACTGGAGACAAAGGACAGAACCTGTGTGTCCCGTTAATACTTTCAAACATTCCAAGCTGGTTTTATCCCAAATCTGTTGAGACAAGGTTAGCAATAGACAATGATCTAGTATACCACATTTTGATAAATGTTACTGTCTGACCTTGTTTTCTGAATAAAGTAAGACCCCCTCTGCTACAATGAGGAAGTACCATAACATCAAACAGGTAGAAAAGGAGGAAATGTTGCGTAACTCCTAGAAAAGACCTGCAAATGCATTTGCTTTGCACCTTCATCATTGTACTCATGATAATTATCAACAACTTTAGAATGGTTTTGCTTGTTTAACCAAGATGTGTGAAAAGCTGGCTTACTGTTTTAAAAACATCTGTATCAAGAGACTGTAAAAATTCCTATCCCTAATAATCTATCATGTTTGTTTACACAAAAAGAAAACTGTAATGCTCAACATTACAGAAAAATTCTAAAATAAGCTGTGAAAGTTTTTTAGTAATAAAGTATAATCCCTATATTAGCGTTAAACAAATAGATTAAATTACAATAGCCTACATAGTGATATCAATGCTATTTATTTTTTAAAGAGGAAAACCAGATCAAAAGTAAAGCGTTAATAATATTATTTTGTACTTGGGGAGTCCTTTTTCTACTATAAAAAGATCCTTCCATTTCGATAGCACTTTAAATATGTTTGCCACTTTCAACATAAGGGGAGATAAGAACTTATTGGGTTGGTAAAAATAACCAGAAAAGTTTACTTTTAATTACTGTACTAGGTGAACCTGAGTTATTCTGAAAGTGACTAGTGACCAGGACTGGTGAAGAGTCAAGTACAAAATCTTTCCAATCATTAAACTAGGTCATCTCTCTAAAGCACATTTCTGCTCTATTGTTCTACGGCTTAAAAGTTGAAAGTACACATGAAGTCATTTTTTTGTCCCCTAAGCCTACTTTGAACACAGCTACGCCTCTTAGAAACACATCCAGTTCAAGTGGAGTGCAAGCCCAAGGCCAGCTATGCTGTGATAAGTTCCTTGGAAACCATTCTTATCTACACCTAAAATTAACTAATTAACACGGCAGTCTTTAGAGTGTATGAGGGGACTCCAAATTCCATTATCTTTTCATTCACAGTTTCCATGGACTTTCTGAAGTCCCCTCATCCTTTGCCCATCGGGTTGGGGCTATCAATAAGTAGGACATAAAAATTAACTTCTGTAGTCAGGGAAGTTTGGGAAGCTGGGAAATACGTGGCGCTGCAGCCCTCTCGGTGGTTTTGTTTTTCCGCCTTTTCTTCCCCCTCTCAAAGTGTTTTATATACAACTGAAGGAGCCTTGGTACTGTACTGGGTTACTTGTCACCCTGCTAACTTCAAGGTCAACAGTTCAAACCCACCAGGTGTTCTTTGGGACAAAGATGAAGTTTTTACTCCTGTAAAGACTTACAGCCTCAGAGATCCTAGAGAGTAATTGTACTCTGCTCTAGCAGGTCAATGGCCTTGTGAGTTCAGAGTTTGAATTAGCATGCAGTGTTTTTTAAACGTCTTTAAAGAACACTATTCTTTGCCTAAAATGTCTATCTTCATCCTGGAGCTTCACACTTGCAGAATACCTCCTGGGTCACCAGGAAGAGAGAATTCTTAAAGTGTATATTAACACACACACACACACCCCCAAAAAGAAAAAAAATAGTTCAAGTTACTCAATGTTTTATTAAATATGAGACAATAAGCCACAATGTAAAACAAAACCAGTCAGCTCAGTTACCTAAAAGATTATTTTAACATGGGCAAATAATTTGGTTTATATGCCAGTGAAAAGTGAATTAAAAAATATAGTTTGTTCTAACACTCTTTTGTGTTAGCACCGGAGTGCTTCCTTCTCAGAAACCATAAAAGGCAATGACTTCTGATTTACAGGCAAGCAAACAACACTTTCATCAGCTGGCAAAGTAATCAAGAGCCCTGAGATACCAGGATATTTTCAATTTGCTCCTAATTACAGGATACAAAATGTGAATGTGCTCAAGCAGGATAAGGCGTGAGATAATCCAGGGGTCCTGTGGTAGCTATAGGGAGCGCTCTGGCTTGAGTTCTTTAGAAGCCACTGAGTGCCGCCAGGATTGAGTGCAACAGATAAAAACCAATCTGGGGTAAATGGAGAGATTGTCACATCTGGTGCCTAACACATAACTATGACTTCTAAAAACAGTACATACAAAATGCAGTCACTCACCTTAATAGAATTATCTCGCAGGCCACTGATAATTTTTTCATCATCGTACTGTAGGCAGTAGACACCTTTACTATTCTCAGAGCGGCATTGAATCCTCTGCAAGTTGTGCCGTCCACACCGCCAGTTAGATTCTATGGTCTAAGGGGGAGAGCACACAGGCGGTTTGTGAGTCCACGATTCTAATAGGCTTCGGACTTTGGTCTTTTTCCAGAAATAGCATACCACTGATACCCCAATCATGGTCTGCATAACTGTCTGTGACTAGGAATCATGTTCTTTTCCAAGTACGACATCAGCGCACCAATGTTTTCTCCTCAAACTTTCCCTGAGCGTCTGGCAACTATCATAGGCTTTCCAAAGGGGCTTGGGTTGGGTTTGAGAGAAATGGCCCAGAATTCAATACATTTGAAGAATGCCATTTGTACCCAAAGCATACAAATAAATAAGAAGTCATGGGGTAACTCCCCAATGCCAATTATGACAAATGACCACCATCACCATCTAAAGCATATAGTGACCTGTATACACTCACTTAAAGCACTGTCATGAGTCAAAAAAAAAAAAATACTGAGCAATCCTTACCTACCAACAACTGCATTAAGGGGGTCTGTTACCACGTTTAATCTCCCACCGGACTGATAGTCCGTTTCCAGTAAGACTGATACATTCAGCCCTGGACTCAGACTCTGTCTCTCTGCCTCTCTCTCTCTCTCTCTCTCTCCATACATTTATTTACATGCAACATTTACTGAGATGCTAATTGGAATCCAGGAACTGTGCAAGGCCCAGGTCCTAGAAAGATCCTAAATCAACAAGCAGCTCACTAGTTTCAAATGAAGCATCACTCTATTACCCCGACACACCTCATCTGAAACCAAACACCTGTTAAGCCTAAGTTTATTTAGTTAAATAATATTCACAATACCCTGGGGTGGCATTCCTATTATTCCGCTTGACAAGCAAATAAACTGGGTTTCATTTGACTGAGGCCATAACAGTAGGAAATGGATGAGCTGAAAATCAAGCCCCGTTCTTTTGGACCCTGAGCCCATGCAGCTTCTAAAACAGCGGTTCTCAAGCTGTGGGTGGCGACCCCTTTGGGGGTTGAACAACCCTTTCACAGGGGTCGCCTAAGACCATCAGAGAACACATAAATATTTCACAACATACAATTACATATTGTTTTGTGATTAATCACTATGCTTTAATTATGTTCAATTTGTAACAATGTGTAACAATGAAAATACATCCTGCATATCAGATATTTACATGACGATCATAACTAGCAAAATTACAGTTATGAAGTAGCAATGAAAATAATTTTATGGTTGGGGTCACCATAACATGAGGGACTGTATTAAAGGGTCAACCTTAGGAAGGTTGAGAACCACTGTTCTAAAACGTGCTGTGCCTGTGGCATAGTGAATTTACACACTTGGCTGCTAACCTGAGATCTCAAGTTCTCGAGCTCACTAGCTGCTCTTTAAGAGAAAGATGAGGCTTTCTGCTCCCATGGGGATTTACAGCCTCCCTCAGACACCCAAAGGGGCAACTCTGCTCTATCCTGTAAGGTCAAGATGAGTCGGAATCAACTCCAGGGCAGTGACTGAGTGAAATAAAGAAGTACAGGCATTTGAGTCCTAGCTATTGAGGCAATGAATATGGAATATATAAAAATCAGTAATGACTCCAGATAAAGTATGTATTGCAAATGAGTGATAAAAACTGTGAGTGCTGCAGGCCTCCAGGGTGGCAATGCACACTGTGGATTGGGGCTGCTGAGTAAGCTTGAGAAAGGGGATGCAGAGCACTGTAAGACCGACCTTCTGATAACAGAGGTGTTTACAGGGCTAAAAGACAAACATTTCTACCAAGAACAGCCAACTCTAAGTTCTAGATTTTTGAAACTAGCGGAAAATAAGGATCTATAACTGGTGACATTCAACACAGGAGATCTTTTGAAAGATGATCTCAGAGTAACTTTTAGTTTAATTACTTGCTTTGTTAAAGAAGGAAGATAACTCTCATCTTTATTCACAGTAAGAACTCAGTGACTGGCTCTGCTGACATCTAACAGTATTTCCTCTTAGTCTGAAGGCAATATGATGCTGCACTCTCTGAAATGTTAAAATCTACATGTTTTATATATGGTATTTATAGGCAGATAGAGATACACAAACACATGGAATTCACCAGATGGCAAGGGGTGAGTATGTATAACTATGTGTGAATATATATGTGTATATAAATGTACATATAGTATTTATATGGCATAAATTTTTGTTTCTGCCTTTACAGGGGGAAAAAAGATGTCAAGGCATGCGTGCATGAATGAACATACACAACACAAGAGGGTAAGTGAAAAAAAATTACTGCTGCTAGGGTTTCAGTTCATGCATGCACGGGCATGAGGGGGACCCAAAAAACCCCAGAATCTCTTCCCTCCCTCCACCCCCAGCTATGTATGTAAATTTTTTTTTAACTATCACCTTCAAAGTACTCTCCATTATACTTAATACATTTGTCAACTCTCTGATTCCATTCTTGGAAACATTTTCAAACTCATCTGTCTGGGTGGTTGACAGTATCTCCCTAGTTTTCTTCTTCACCTCTTCTACATCATCAAATTGCTGTCCTTTCCTGTCCCTCTTCACTCTTGGAAACCAAAATAAGTTGCACAAAGCAAGGTCGGGTGAGTCTGGTGCATGGGCCAAGAGAGGTATGCTGGGTTTTGCCAAAAATAGGCACACTGAGAGGTCTGTGTGAGGAGATGCATTGTTGTGGTGGCAAAACCAGTTCCCAGTCTGCCATAAATCGGGCCTTTTTTTTGTTGAACGGTGTCAGGCAATCTATTCAGAACCTCTAAATAGAAAGCTTGATTAACAGTCAGACCAGGTAGAACAAACTCCAAATGCACTATGAGTCAACATTTTCGTCCACTCGGGAAGTTGAGGGTTGTTTAGAACAAAGTTTGTCCATGAATCAACATTTCACCTTTTTCTGAAACAAGAAAATCACTCATACACTTGAGTTTTTCCCAAAGCACTGTCTTATAAGCTGTGGTCAACATCAGAACAATTTCTGCGGCATTTTTCCCCAGCAGGAAACAAAATTTCACAACTGCACACTGTTCTCTTAAATTGACCATTACAAAAAAAAACAAGGTTTGAGCAAAACTGCTTTTATGAAAAAATTCACTGTGACCGGAGAGTACCTTCCCAGGCAACACCAATGGGTGCACTAACTCAGAGTGAGTTGTTCAATATTCACCTAGTGGGAAAAATGCTACTAATTCTGGACACACTCCACCACCACCCCTCATAAAAAAAGGTGCTTAAAACATGTCTGTGTGATGAGTGGATGGCTGCAGACAGATTCACTCAGGAATACACGTGTCTGAGTCTCTTTAGTGTGCCTTCTCGCCAAACGTGCAATCAAAACAGTGGCTTCCAAAAGAATGTGCCAGACCAGTTCAAGTCAATGCAGAGAAGTCAGCTCAGAAGGCTATGGTTTCCATTTTTAGGAATTCACACAGGGTCATCTTTATGATCTTAATGGTCACAGAAAAATCACAGAGGCTTATTAAGACGTTTTAAGAAAATGGAAAGTGGCATTGGGAAAAAAGCCTAGGGACATTGTGTTGGGGCATTTACACACACACACACACACACACACACACACCCCTCAACAATGTACCTGCTCATTCTTCAAGGGTAGCAAAATCTTGGTGGGCAGTTTTACCCCATCCATGCTACAGCGCGGACACCGCCCCTTCAAACTTCCGTTTTGCTACCCAAACTCAACAACTGAAAGGGACACAACTTTAGTCCCTCAAGGCTACCAAAACTGCTGTCGTGACATGGTGCAAATCAAAGAGCACAGAATTGCTTAGGGAAAGGTTAGGGAAATGGAGACACTGCCTTCAGGATGCATAGACCTAGAAGGTGGGAGATGTGCTAAAAAACAGTAGCTTCACACTTTTGAGGTGTTTTTTGCTTAATAAAGATTTCTATAATTTTTATAGTGATACTTTTTTGACTTATCCTTACACTTTCAAGGATATTGTTCCATTCCTTGGTAGCGCCCATGCTTAGCAATACAAGTTCTTGGAAAGACCCCCTGTGCCTTCAAAGAGCTTCCACACACAGCCATGAGGGACAGGCGAGGATATTTCTTGCACCCACGGGTACAAGGCAGGTGGCACCTTGAGGCTAAGAATGAGAAAAGGCTTCTCTGTCCATCTGCTACCCAGTTGGGGTGTCCCTGTCAAACTCACTGTCTCCAGTGAGTTCAGAAAATGTCAAGTCATGTAAAATCAAGAAAAAATGTATCTAGTGCACTTCTAGCTCTACTCAAGCAGACAAAAGATCTGGTGATATAAGAAATTGTAAAAGGGAATGGCAAGGAGGGATCCTAGAATGTAATCTTTTAAACTCCATGCTTGAGATAATTCACAGCACCTCACCATACTAAGCACTCCAGGAAAATGTTGCCATGGACAGCCTTATGGTGCTGATCATGATCATGCAGACTATACCCTATGGCGGCCCACAGCACTGCTGCAGAATTCATGACTCCTTATGGGCCCAGGGTCTTATCAAATGAATATACAACTAGCCTGATGATGTAGCTATTGAGAGATATATTTTTAAATTATAGAATTGTCCTTGGGTTTAAAACCTACTCCAATGCTTCAACACAAACAGTGTTGTATGTTTCGATGAGTGAAAAGGGCACACTTCCTCCCATCACATGGGACTTTGCACACACACAATTTTATTTATTAATTTGAAAGGATTATCCAAAGAATTTCCTGTGTGCTATCAATTCCACTGTAAGGCGTCTGTAAAATGTGACTACAAGCTCTGATGATAAAGCCGGCACCTCAAGCTCTGGAGCCAAGAGCAGAGAACAGGGTGCTGGCTAATGCCTGGTCACTGGTCCTTGAGAACCACGAAAGGTGGAAGCATGCCTTCCGTCCCCAGCAGTTCACCAGGCACGAGAGGACAGGACCTCTCCAAAAAGCCCTGCTCAACACGGGACTACCGCCCCCTTCCACGTCAGATGGAGGTCAGCAGAGGAGGCTCAGCTTGTCAATGAGTAGAGAAATCTTAATTTTTTTAAAACACATTTCTGAATTTTAAAAGAAACAGTCTACCAAATTATTCCTGAACTTCCAAGTTTTTGGAAGGTCCACTAAGAGCTGTTTTCAAAGGGATTCGTTTCCGGGAACCCAGGACAAATGCAGCTTGTTTTAAAGGCCAGGGAAGCAACACTGAACGCGATGAAGGGGTGAATCCTTTTGCTGCCCACCACCCCAGAATGATCCCGAGACTACCCTCTTTTTCTGTCACAGCCCCACCCCCACCCCCAAAAAGCAAGCATCAGTCCCACTGATGCGGCCTGCCCGAGAGACTGCAAAAAGACTGGCAGCCTCAACTTTGACTGGAGTGTGCTTATAAGCCAGGGCTTGTTTAGAAAAATGCAACGTTTAACACTGGAGAGCAGCCCACTGCGGTGGCAAGTACCGACAGCAGTCAAATCGCAGCTCAGCGTGTCAGCTTGCTCCTCCACAGAAAGAGGGGTAGTGTCTACCCCGCAAACTACACATGGTATGAAGACCAGAGGAGGTCACAAGTGTGGGTATCTGCAAGCAGGAGCCATCATGCTGCTCCTTGTGTACTGAGAACACAGACCAAAACACTGGCTGTCCACCCCAAAACAAAATATTGGAGTCTTTGTTTCGGCTTGTAGCCCAGAGCTGCGTCCACGTTCAATGTCCCCGGGCAAGGGGTCCACCTTCAAATGGGATTCAGCTCTTATCTTAACTTCAGCAACCAGAATTCAGGTCTTCGCACACAGGTGCACCTCTGTAATTGGGTGGACACCTGCCATTTCCCTTAGACGCCCTGCGGCCTGGCTACCGTAGAGGAGTATTTCATGTTTTTCAGAACTTGTAAAATCCCCTTACCCTGTACAAATTTTCAAAATACTGGGAAAGTAGCCATGATACACAGAGTATACAGCGGCATTTAAATTGGCAATAGAGTGAAAACAGATGTCTGACTATGGAGGAATAACATTATTTTTAGAAGCCTAAACAAAACTGGGTGGGTGGGCAAGTTTCAGCATTTTCTGGTCAGGACAATGTTAACATCAAGTTTGCAAACCACAAAAATTAAAAGGTGTGATGCAACACACCATCATTTTACCAGAGGTCTGCTCTAAGGAGAGTGCTTCCACACTCCCTACATGCAAAAAGAAGGGGAAGCCGAAGGGTGTGAAGCAGCTCACTACACCTGGGAAGTGGGGAGAGAGCAAGTCACACGGACTGCAGCGTGCAGGCGGGTTAAGTTGAGTCTACTAACTCCTTTCTGGGGAGGGGCATTTGAGGACAGAACACAGTGAAAGTACATGGACGTTGGAGCACAAAGCTTAGCTTCAACAATTTGAGGGTTCAATTAAATGACTGGGGTGAAGTACCCAACAGTAAGCTCACCATTAATAACAACAGTAGCTAAGAAACAAGATATAGCAAAAGAGAATATAGCTGCTTCTTCGGGGAATCTGCTTCAAAGTTTCCAGAAACTCCTCCTCAATTCAAAGGCTATGTAAACCCAATCTCTAGGTGTGGCAAGAAAAACTCTACGAGACGTTAGCAGAAAGTTAACAATTCTCATTTATTTTCCCTAGCTTCCCTCACTTCCTAAGTAATAGGAGTTCAGCCTTTTTCCCTTTTAAATTTCTGGTGAGCTGACTTACAAGGGCAAGTTCCAAGATGGACACTGCCTCTCTGCTTGTTGGTCACCTCGGGGACGACGGAACTAGCATGAGCCAGAGCTGTCAAGGGAGAGCAGGAGGAAAGAAAGGAAAAGGTGCTGGACATCGGCAACCTTGCAAAGCATAACGGGAAAAAGAGAGACAGACCCAGACACATACTCTGCAGCTGGCGAAGGGGGACACCAGCACACTCTTGACATTCCCACTGTAAGTTATCTTTTGGCAACATCTTTAAAGCCCTTTAATGCACTGCCTGTCCTGTAACTGGACTGAAACAAGGCCAACAAACCTTGTGTTAACTCACACACTCTTTTAATAGTCAGGAACAAAGAGTAGTCACATAATTAGAAAAAGATGGGAAGGCCACCTTGAGATGTCTAAAGCCACACTCACAATCCCTTCTGCTTCACTTCTCAACGTTTCCACAAGGAATGTGACAAGCAACAACTCTTTAGCAGAGAGTTAGACAAAGCTGGCTACAATCCCATCTTTAACAACAATCTCTGTGGGATCAAATTTACATACATATCTGAGAGATCAGAGAGAGACTCTACGGGTGATGGGTCTGTTAATGAGAGAGGGTGCAAGTGGTTGTACAGCTGCCAGGATGTCATCAGTGTCACTAGATCGGACATGTACAAACTTTATTTTACTATGTATGCTCTCAACAAAATAAAATGAGAAAAATCTTCCCTTTTCAAAAAAAAAAATCCTCTATCTTCTTCTGTATGGTATGGCAAGTCCAAAGATTTTTCTTACTTTCAATTTCCCCATGTTATAGACAGAAATAATAATATGTACCTTGTCGTAAAAATTAAACTCAATAATCTATGCAAATCACCTAACCTAGTTTCTGATATGTCAGCACTCAAGAGGGTACTGTGACAATGATATGGTGCTTCCGAGGACTCCACACCGCCATATGAGTCGGAGCCAAGCCCACAGCACCTGAGGCTTTTTTAATCTACAAATCACTGAATGACCACTCTATCAGCATATCTACCTTGCATGGAGTAAAAACATACTCCCAACACAGAGGTAAAGAACTCTGCTACTCTGATGAAGTCTGTATTTTAAAAAGCTCTATGAAGGGTGGAAGAGTGTGGGGGTGATCACAGATGCCATCCCTCCCTACGTGTAGGGAGATGGCACATCAGATCACCTTTTTGGGCTGTAGTTTAAATATAGATATTACCTGTCTTTCAGGACTTATCCAGAGTGGTCAGTGAGAAACTGCATTATAAAGAGCTTCAACAAAGTCTCTGGCAAAAATAACTGTTCTGTATTTGGTAAATTTTATCTATTCTATTATTATTACTATTAATGACCACGCCAAAGTATAAGCATCAGCTCTTACATTAAGAGATCTGGAGGAGACTCTGTGGCCTGGCCATCCAGTGGCTGTCTCAAAACCACACTTTAAGTAGCACTGGGTAGACCACGGTGATGTAGAGACTGTCTCAAAGTGAGTCCCACCCCACCAGCCCCCAAGAGTGGTCTTCTCTGACACCTGCTAATGTTAACACATATCTACCAACTTTCAAACGCTTAAAACTTTTCTCACATCAAACTACTTTAAAACGTATTTCAGCCTGAGGAAAAGGGGATGGCGGAGGGTGTCGCATACTGTCATGAAATAGAATACAGAGTTTATGTTTTCTATTATAATAGTATAGTCATGAGAATTAAACAGTCTATGTCACCACCCATCTTCACCCCAACCGAGGTCTTGCAGAGTTCGCTTCTCACAGGAAAAGACTTGATAATATGACTCAAGGAAGTGGTTGGGAGGAGAGAGACATTGTTTCTAGGCTATGTGCATGAGCAATGCATCAATATACACAAATAGGAGTAAGATACAGCCCACAGCACTGTCCTCTGAAGTGCGCGCGCACGCACACACCCCCCCAATGTAATATTAAAGTTAACATGATCGCTCAGCTCCTGAGCTACAGAGCAATTCATCCTAAGGCTTTAAACTGTCGGCAAATCAATTCGTTCCCAAACTTCATCATTTGTCTGGCAGACGTTTTTAATTATTTACCCCTCCTAAAAACTTACTATATAGTTCATTTTACAGAACAGAATACTAAAGACAAGAATTTACGCTTTAAATAATGATATTCCAGTCACATTCAGATTTACCGTTAATGGAATTATTTCATTAGCTCACATCTGCCCTTTTAAAAAAAGGAAAAAGAAAAAACTCCCAAGGAGCACATGCTTCTCCATTAATGAATTTTGGCATAATAACTTTTAGATCTACCACCTGGGGGAGAGGATTACTTCACGTTTGGGAGACTGAGTGTAACTGTATGAGTGAACAGCATTGCCTAACTACGGCTAAACTTCTACGCCTACGAGGAAATAGCGAAGTAACCCCAACCTGCCAAGAACACATGTGAGTTCATGGGAAATGCCTGTGCATGTCTTTCCGGTTCAAGGAAGGAGGCTAAACAATAAAACTAAACTAATTAGAACACATGAACAATATCAAACACTTCCAATGTTTCTCATCAAGTTTACAGAGATTGAAGTTACATTCAAATGCCAATAGTCCAGGAGCATTATAATTGGCTCTATAAGCCCCACTAATTATTGCTCAGATCATACGAGTCATTTGTATAAAACAAAACTATGAATAGCTTACAGCAAAACCGAAGCTGTGACTGTGTTAGCTCTATAGAAATGGCTCAAAAACCTCAAACCCCGCTCATCTGGTACACTGAGCCTTGGATTTTGGAAACTTTATCAAATTAAGATAAAGAGTTTGTTTGGGATTAACTAGCAGCCTCACAGACACATATTATTTTTTAAGAAAGGGAGTTTTGCTTTTTACCAAAAGGCAACATCAATGCTCAGGAATAGCTGCCGATTCTACATTCACTGTGTACTAAACGCTCAAATATATATATAAAACCTTCATGATTTTAGAACAAAAAATGAACGTTCTAAGGCAACATAAAAAATCAAGAACAAGACACAAAGAGCCCATAAAACAGATAACTGGTAAAGTTACCTCTATATCCTGGATAATCTTTGGGTATAGTGACCTATAAAATGAATTGGGAGGGCCATCTGTGGGTCTGTTTTTAAACAGGTACTGATCCCTGGCAAATAAAAACAAACAGATGTTACAATTGTGCACATAAATGGGTGAGTTTTATTTAAGCATGATGCTTACAAAGATATTCTTTCCTGTCTTTTGACTTGCTCTGTACTTGAACAGCAAAAGCAGGATTTCTGACAAGTAAATTTACATGCTAGAGGCAAATATACTCCAGTTCAGATTTATGCTGTGGTTCTCTGAGTATATCTAGAAGACAACTCATCCAGCTGTTCACTCTACAGTTAAATCAAAAGAAGTACCTACACAGTGCTATGTGCCTGTGTGAAAAATCTCAGAGACGCCTCGAATACACAGCACAGCCCCCGGTCTCACGCACACTACCACTAGTAGCACATGTCAGTCAGTAGCTCTCTCCTTCCCTGGGCTAACTGGACAGGGTCAGTGCCATGCCTGGAAAATGCACTGCTGTGTGGAGTTGCTTCAAAATGAAGAGCTTTTCCTCTAAACACTGCACTGCCTGCCATGGCCCTACATTCCCAGGCAGAAGCAATAATAAGGAGTAAAATGGCATTATTTGACTTTATCATATTTTCTTGTCTTAGCTATTATATCTATGAAAAATGTGATGGAAAAAGAATAAATGCATACCTTTGAAATACCAAACCACCCATTCAAACAGAAACACTTCGTAACAGTTAATAAATGTAAATATATGTGAAAAAGAAGGAAATTTTGACAGTTTAACTCCCCAGCCCTTCAAACTCCTGACCACGCATCCTTTTCCCCTAGTTTAAAAGGTGTTGATACTTTTCGCAGATATGATTGCTTTTTTTGGGTAATCAATTGTACCCTATGTCAAAGAATTTTTTTCAAGGGAAAAAGCAACTCAAGTACTTACCACCCTCTTCTTTCTGAAAGTCCCTTCCATAGAGGGTCCGTGCGCACCATTCGCTCAATCAGCTTCTTCCAAAGCATTCCTTCGGAGATCACTCGCTGCCATTCTTTACACACCAGCTCTGCTGCACACAGAGACCTGGCATCCAGGTAGGAAAGAATGTTTTCTGCTATGTGATCTAAGCCTTGCTCTAAAAAATAGAAAAAGCAATGAAGGCATGGGAAGGGTAGATGGAAATAAAGCAGCCAAATTTTCCTTAAGATCAAAGTAGTAAAGAAATCCTAAACCAGGTAAAATATTTTAAGTAATGCCAGAAGTTTTGCAGATACGCAAGAGTATATCAGCACATACACTTTTAGGGGTTTTTAAAAATCATTTTATTGGGGGCTTATACAATTCTTATCACAATCCATACATTCATCCATCATGTCAAGCACATTGGTACATTTGCTGCCATCATCATTCTCAAAACATTTTCTTTCAACTTGAGCCCTTGGTATCAGCTCATTTTTCCCCTCCTCCTCCACCCTCCCGCCCTCACGAACCCTTGTAATGTATAAATTATTATTACTTTTTCATGTCTTACACTGACCGATGTCTCCCTCATTGGGTCCCTTTTTTTCTGGGGGGGGAGGGGGGTTGTTAACAAAACAATGGTGGGAACGACTGTGTGTGGAAAAGCTGCTGCTGGGTAGGCTCTGGATTTGTTAGGTCCTGTGGCGAGAAGACTTGTTTTCAATGCATAGAGGAGCGACACATTTTACAGATAAGGTCCAAAGAGGTAAAGTACTCGGGGTTTCACAACCAGTGAGTGATAAAAATCGGCCCTGGAGCCAGATCTCTCACTTCAGAGAGGGTTCTTTCTCTCCTCGCTCCCATTCACTGTCTCTTGGAATAAATCATAGCCCATTAATCACAGTGACAGCTTTACAAGCGCATGAGTTCTTTCAAAGTTAGGTGACAGCCCAAGCATGAATTAAGTCAGTCATACTTAGATGTATGTTATCAACCCTCTCTGCATCTCCTTCTTGCGGGTATCTATGTTACTCTTGAATAGGGGATGAAAGTCCTCCTAAAGCAAGCACCACGTGTCTAAAATGTTACAGCCTTCAAAGTCACTGGTAACCACTCGTGGAATGCAAGGATCATCGCAAAGATTACTAACCACTTGAGATGCAGCCTCTGCCTGGCATTCACACTGGCACAAGATCACCAGGGTCAGCACGGTTGTCCCCTGAAAGTGCCTGTCTTGGGGACAGGCATATCACTAAAGCTGTAAGAAAAAGGTTCATCCCCAGATTTCTTCTGTGTTGTGAAGAAAACACTATGTTGTCCAAAAATTCCAATTTCACCACTCCTAGTTCTATGACATAAAGCAAATACTGAAGCATCCCTGCATCTCAGTATTTAAAATAGTCATCATGAGTTAACAATTGTTTTTCCCCCCGTACTGTATTTTTAAGAATCAAACAATTTAATGAAAAGATTTTAAAGACAGTAAAGCACTATGCAAAGGTTAGTATTTGTTTTCTTTTTCAAGTAGATGCAGAGCAGTAGCAGTAAGCATTGGTGCTAAAACATCAGGTATAAATCATTAAACCTTAAGAGCCTCAGTTTCCCCATCTGATGATAATGTTGTCTGCTCTATTTTAAAAACATTAAAATTAGATGATGTATTTAAAAACTGCTTTAACTTCTAGTGAATTCCTTCTGACCTCTGACGAAGGAATGTGAATAGCCTTGCTATCCGAAGGAGTGCATTGGAAAGTGAATTAATACAGATGTAGTTAAGTTACAATGTTGTTATTTGTTTTCCCTTTTTACTCATTTCAAATTTGGTCTCGTTTTCATTGCTTTCTGCTTTCTTATCGGTTTTATTTTATTCTTGGGTGTGTGTGTGTGTGCGCGCGTGCGCGCAGTGGGGGAGGTCCTTAAATGAAATCAGGATAGTTACATCTATAGAGACCTTAACTGGATTAATAGTGTCTTGGGATTGTGGCAAGGGGAGTAGAGGGAAATGAACAGCAAATAATAGTATAAGAATGATGAAAATTTTCTAAAACTGATTGTGGTGATGACTGCACAACTCTTTTTAACCTGTTTAAAACACCACACCATATGATGCGTGAATTATGTCAATAAAACTGTCTTTTTAAAAAAACAACTTTAATACAGCTCAAAAATCATAAAAAAGAGACCAGGCTTACTAGTAGGATAAAAATTGGTGATCCATAGTGATAGTCCACAAGACTATGGCCCTAACTAATCTTTCAGGTAACTAAACTCACCATGTTAAAGTAATCAACCATTTAGGACCAAAAAGGCAGTATTGACCAAGGAGAAAGTTCACAGGGTTTGGAAGGGGGGTGGGGGTGGGGAGACATGGGGAAGAAGGAGGATACGTGATAGTACATGAGTTGAACCAAATGTAGACGAATTGTTGAATGTAAAACTCATGCTCTGCTCCATAATGTCCGTCTAATTCACAATGGTTTGGTTTTTTTCCTTAACTTCTCTACATCTAAGGTTTTATTACTTCTAAGAATGGAAATTGCTACAGTTTGTTGCCTAGTTTCCCAGTCAAGCATATACTAGACTGCAAGTTACGACTGCACTGGGGGTACTATCTTTTCTTCCACCTCTCATGACATCACCGCTACTGCCGTCTCTGCAGCCCTGGTGGCACAGTAGTTTAGCTAGCAGCTTGAACCCACCAGGTGCTCCGAGGGGGGATGAGGCTGTTTCCCTACGATTTACAAGCTCAGAATCCCACAGCGCAGCTCTATTCCGTCTTACGGGGTCACTATGAGTAGCAATCAACTCAATAGCAGTTGAGTTTTTGTGAGATTACAATCTACTTTCATCTAATAGTCATATCACAGTCAACTCATAAGGTGCCAGCAACTTAAAATAAAATCGCAGTCTTTTCCCCCTAAGAATATCTGTTTAAAACAGCCATTGCCCCACCCCATTATGTATTTATAAAGCTACTGCTGTGAGGTGAGGGCAGCTCTGTGTAGTTTGGATCTATCTGTATGAGAATTCACTTCCAAGGTCTTCTCATCTATCTGTGTCAGCCTCTAGAATCCAGATTCAGTCATCTGCAAGAGTGGTGATACTCCACTTCAGATTGCACAGCAGGCGATGTGGGAAGTCTTCATCTGCAGCTGTTGACAAGTAGGTTAAATGGGTCAGAGCGAAGGACAGCACCCTTGATTCTAGCTATTTCCCTCCGGACTATCTCTGACCCATTCATTAATACCCACAGGGTGCCAACACTGAGCCACAAGCTTGGTAACCACGGGTGAACTATAACCCAGCCTACCATTCTCATTCTCATTCTCAACCCAGCCTGAACCTCTCTGTCCAGTCCTCAGGCTACCGAGAGACTCTGTGCCCGTGGCAACAGTGCAGGCTCCTTAGGGTCTTTTTCTCCCCTGGGAGCCTTGGTGGTGCCGTGGTTACACACTGGCCAGAAGTTTGAAACCACCAGTCTCTCAGAGGGAGAAAGAGAGTTACCGTCTTAGAAAATCACTGGGCAGTTCGAGCTAGTCTGTGCCACGGGGTCGCTACGGGTCGGAAGTGGCTAGACGGCACCGAGTTGGGTCTGCTTCATTTTCTCCTCTGCTGCTAGTCTGGTAACACCTACACAGAGAGAACTGGCTGAAACTGCTGCCGCTGGGTTGGTTCCCTGGCTGGGGCGAACCCTGTAAAGCTGGTACTGCAATTTTCTGGTCACAAGTTGCACGCGCTGCTTTGTATCCCCTTTTTAATGTAGGAGGCTACATAAAAAAACAAAGTTACAGAATCACAGAAATCTTTATTCATAAAAATATCGAAATATGAAGCTACTGTTTTTCCATAGACCCTCCATCTAGTTCTACATACTTCTAAAGGTGATGCTTCTTTTCTTTCTTTTTTTGAAAGTGATTGTTCCCTATCTTTTACCTTTCACCAAAGGCTCTGAGCTTTTCAATTTACACCACCTTCAAAACAGCAGTCTGGGCGTCTTTGAGGTACTCCAATTGTGTTCTTTTCCAATGTTCTTGGAGTTTCAGGAACAGAAGGAAGTGTGAAGCTGGGGTAGTTAGATGACAATGTCAACGTAAGGATGAATGAAAGAGTTCTGCGAGTATCATCATGGTTTTAGAACATTTTCATCATTCCTGTCCTCATTATTATTAGCTCCCTCTTTCCCCTTACATCACCCCAAGAAACTATTAACCCAGTTACTGTCTCTATAGATTTACCTATCTTGGATTTCATTTGAAGAAAAAATATCAGCACCAATCCTTGAAGACATATGAAAGATGTATGGTAGGAGTGAAAGCCAACCTGGCAATCCGGCCACAGCCTGATGGTGTTTCCTGGGGTTATGGCCTTCTTCTCAGCAGGACCCTGGGGAACTCCTTTCTCTCCGCCTTCACCGTCCTGCCTGCTGGGACTGGGTCACTGACCCTGAGAACCGCCAGGACCCTGCCATGCTTCCACTGACCTGGGATCCAACCACCTCTGCACCCCCGGGCCTGTCATCTGCTGCGCTGTGTGTCACTGCATGTGGCTGCGTGAGTCTGAAGAGGGGCTTTTATGGACCAGTACTGAACTTGTAGATTTGAGTTGGACTAGGCTGGCATGTTTTCTTGATATATAATTGCTTCTTGATATAAAGTTCTTTCTTACACATATATAAACATGATTGGATTCGTTCCTCTAGTTAACCTGGCCTTACACTGAAGGGAAACAAGATCAGGCCTGAAGGACAGATGGTTTAAGATTTCCCAATGGAAGTCTCAGAGGGCCATCCTTGCTACTCTCCAAGAACGAGCAAGTACACTGTTGTGATGGGAAAAATTTCTTGTTGAAATTTTCTTGGCTTTTTCCTCACTGATGTGATTTTTAATTTTCTTAAAAACTTCTTCCAAATCAGCCTCCATGATCATCCTGTGTCCTCTGAGAAAATGTAAAGATGAACCCTTTGGGATCCCTAAAAACAGCTGACATAACATCCTGAGCTGACTTCTCAGATAGGACTTTTCTCTCTCTCTCTCTCTCTCTCTCTCTCTCTCTCTTCCTCCCTCCCTCCGTCCCTCCCTCCCTTAAGGCACCCTACAAAGGTGAAGACAAGTGTATTCCTGAGAGAACTTGTCTGCAGACTCCCCTGATCACACAGAAATGTTTGACACGTTGTGT